AGCATTTTATGCACTTCTTTGACACTTTAACAGGAAGTCAAGGTAGGTGAAGTAATATCCTTTCATTGGACCAACTTCTGTTGGTGGAAGGGACAGGCTTTTGGATTGCATGGTGTTCTTAAGGTCTCTTTTGGGTTCCCTTAACAGGGAACGAACAGTCAGTGGGAAATCCAGTCAATATAACAAAGCTAAGTCATGCCAGGTTCTGCTGACTGCTCATGCTAACTACTGTTATACAAAACATGAACATGTAATTGTATATGGTGTGTTTCTCTCCTGCTATGTGGGAGAACTGCACAAACAGGGAAAACCAAGAGATTTTGGAAGAGTTCTTTAAAGTCTATAGGGATCTTTTCATTCACGTCAGTAAGGTTTCAACCATTGCCCTAACTGATTTGGGTTAACAGTAAAGCTAATGATACAATATGCTGCATGTATCTATGATGGACAAAGTAAGCTTTTTAAAAGGTAAAAGTTATGAACACCGGAGTTACGAACTGAACAGTCAATCACACACCTCATTTGGAATTGGAAGGACACAATCAGGCAGTAGCAAAGATTTAAAAAAAGCAAATGCAGTGCAGTACAGTACTGCGTTAAACATAAAATTTCAAAGCTGTATTAAATTTGTTCAACTGTAAACTTTTAAAAGAACAATCATGTTTTGTTCAGCGTTACAAACATTTCAGAGTTATGAACAGCCTCCATTCCCAAGGTGTTTGTATGCTGAGGTTCTACTGTAAATAAACTTTGCCTTCACTCTTTTCATTCCAGCTAATCTTAGGGGGTTCTGGTAATGGTGACACTTCTTCAGAAAGAAGTGATTGATTTCTTTTTAAGCTGACTTTCCCATCAGCATGAAGTGCTTCTCTAAGCAGTTCTGGTGTGAATTCTACTACAAAAGCAATACTCTGATACAAGAAAGGTTTGTTTTTGTAGCGAGTGATGAGTTTGGCTAATAAACAGCCTTCATGCTGAACTTGCATTGCCTTTGCACAACACAACCTCCAACTGAAATGTCCAAAATAGAAAATGAATAATATTGAAGGTGCATACTGCTGATGCCACCAGGTGTCGTCATCACATGGGGTGGAGAGCATGGTAATCAAAGGAACAGATACAGTTAGAGCAGAACCTTTGGCTTTGCATGCGCCAACTTTTCCAGGTACAGGTCTTAACTGTTTTGAAAGCTGAGCAGGTGATGATACAAAGTTATCCCTGTCTGAAAAAGATCTTTTCACTTGTGGAATTGTGATTCTGAGGCTCAGCACTGCAAAGTTGATTTAAGGAAACCCAGAAATGAAAGTTTGTCTGATCATATGTGACTAACCCTAACCCTGTGACCCTGTTCTTAAATTCCCAGGGTGCCGCACCTCTTTCTATTTGGAAATCAAGGATGAGGCTTTTGGATGAGATTATCCCTCCCACTAACTGCCCATGAGTCTCTAAGGAAGGAGGTGAAAATTCCTTTCATCAGCCTTGTTTGTCTGCTCATCTGCACAATGGTGAGGCATATTAGCATTTGTCTTCTGCAGTCAAAAAACTAGGTGCCTTTCATTGTTGTTGGGAAATGGAGGCAAGGCTGCTCTATTTAGTGGTTTTGGATGACTATGTTGTGATCCCTATGGCTAATGAGTGCAGATATAAAAGCTCAATAGCTTGATTATTGTAATTACTCCGACTCTCCCTCCCACCAGTCATGGCTGCTGCTGTGGTGCAGTAGACTCTTGAGTGCAAACCCCTTTGCTTTCAAAGACCACAAGATGAAAGGTAGTGTTCTGTGAATGGGGATTTAAATCTGTCAGTGTGCTAGGCTGGACAGCTGGGTGTTGTGACCGTAAAAGGTGAGTTGGAGAATGGAATATGAAGGGATTAGGTAACACTTCGCGATGGAGACACTTGATGCAGCTCATCCCACAAATATATTTGTTACAAGAATAGAGCTAGTGAAAGAGTAATTAGTTTGTGAATTGATCCAGACTTACACTGAAGCCTTTTTAAGCTTTCTTTGGCTGGAGGGGAGGCATAGATCAGAATCACCAAGTGATGACTCAACAGGGAATATAAAAGCTAAAGGCACCTCCAAAGGATGTGTTAATAGTTTATTTTCCGTATGTCCAAGTGTATTTCATGTAATAAGCCCTCAAATGTCTTACAGAAAGTGCTGGTGGATTCTTCCTGTATGTGTGAGTCCGGGGGGGTTACAACATTTCCACATAACGATTGCCAGAAGCTGGGAATGGGCGACGGGATAGATCACTTGATTACCTGCTCTGTTCAGTCCCACTGGAGCACCTGGCACTGGCCACTGCTGGAAGACAGGATACTGGGTAGATGGACCTTTGGTCTGACCCAGTAGGGCCGTTCTTATGTTATGTTCTTAATGTAGCGCAGGGTGGTCCAACTGGTGTCCCCCAAACGTGTCCACTCCACAGCAGACCTGCTCTAGAAAATGGTGTCCAGGGTGCAGCATGACCTTGCATGCACTGTATGTGACGACACATTGTGTGGAGGACATTGGTTTGTAGAGCACATATTTCTGTATGTGTCTGGTGGAAGTGCCCCAAAGCTAGCATCCAGCCATGAGCACTGAAAAGGTTGAACCAAGAAGGATGCTGTTGGCTTGAAATATAGTAAATAAAAATGAATGTTAAAGTAGCTTCAGGTAATGGACCGTCCCCTTCTTGTCCCTGTCAGTGGGTGGTTTTACAGCCTTGTCTCTCATGCAGGGGAAACTAACTCTAATCACCCAATGTTGATTGTACAAAGGGCCCAAATTGGGAGGGGGTTGGGGAAGTGGTAGACTTTTTTTTTTCATTTTCGTAACTACAGGTAACACTTTAAGTTGGTGTCCCAGAAAGCAAGGATTTATAATGAGAAATCTTGGGGTGTGGATGCCTACTCTTGAGTGGGTGACAAGTAAACAGCTGCAAAAAGAAAGTCCTTTGGCCTCCTGCTGGGCAGGTCTCTAGCCTGAGCGCTGAGCTGGTGATGATGAGTTATCCCTGTCTGAAAAGGAAACCTTCCTTTGTGGAATTCTGACTCTCTGAGGCTCAGCACTTTCACATCTGCTTTAATGAAACTGGAGGATCAAAGTTTACTTTAAGGACTACTATGATGAATCTTTAACATGTGGCTTGTACTTGCATTCACAGGATGCAATGTGTCTTCCACCCACTGATCCTGCACTAAAGAAAGTGCCTGTCTCAAGCCAGGGGCTGGTAACTTTGACTGCAAGCTGGTAAGGAATTGCTAGAGAAATGTTTGCCTCAGTGCCTTGTGAGAAATCCAAAGGCTTTCTGGTCAGCAGGGGTGGGTCATGGTGTGCAGAGTGAAGGAGTACTTGTGGCACCTTAGAGACTAACCAGTTTATTTGAGCATGAGCTTTCGTGAGCCACAGCTCACTTCATCAGATGTGTACCGTGGAAACTGCCATGCAGTTGATAGATTTCCACTCCATACGGCTAAATGCAGTGCCTTGCATAATGACAGGTTTCAGAGGAACAGCCGTGTTAGTCTGTATTCGCAAAAAGAAAAGGAGTACTTGTGGCACCTTAGAGACTAACCAATTTATTTGAGCATGAGCTTTCGTGAGCCACAGCTCACTTCATCAGATGTGTACCGTGGAAACTGTGGTGTGCAGAGTGCTGATTTCTTGAACCTGTTCCTTGCCAGGGAAGCATAGAAATGTAGTGGGTGATCCTTAGTGTGTTCAGCTGTTGCCCTCCTGAGCAGATCGAATCCTGTCTCTTAGCAGGCTATAACCTGACATGTTGAATAACAAAGGGCTGAGGAAATGATGGTCCAAGTGTTGTCGAAAGGAGCAGAACTCAACTTGATGTTGATCATACTTTGAGTCTAGTTTTCCACACATTCCTCCTCCCTGCCAGTTGCTTAATCTTAATGATCATATCTGCGTTATACGTGCAGTGGGAAAGGCTGAAACACTCTGCAGAGCTCTTCAAGTGTATCCTAACTAGGTTTTCAGTCTGCTTTTCTGTCCCTTGAAGCCTATAAGCCAGTGATGTGAGTTATCCCTGTCTGAAAACTCAGCTGTGAGGGGAAAAACAAATATTCTGAGGCTTTTGAACCCCCCCCCCCCCCGGCAGTTTATTTTCTTACCTTGGTGACCTTTGTAGAAGATTAAAATCTGAAAGACAAGATAAAGGATAGGCTGTCCTTTGAGTGTCCCATGTGTCTGTGCTGAATCCTATGGGGCAACCATCACAGCTTTGTTCTTGGTGAAATCCTATAGAACGTGCACTCCGTGACATTTTCCAGGAACCACCCTTTTTTGACATAATGGATAAATGGAACCCTTAAAAATAGGCATTGCCCACTTTAGTGTATTCTGTAAAATCTTTGGCAAAAAAAAAAAATTGGTTGTGGATTTCATGTGTGACAAAGGGTTTTTTAGAGACACTCATGTTGCTTGTCCTGGCTAGTGGGAGAATTTGAGACACGTTTGTGCTTAACTTGAGTGACCAACCTTCTGTTAACCTACAATCTGGTTTTTGCTGGTTACCTTGACCCTGCAATAACACTGTCATTGTTTCTGGCCAAATGAGCTTTGAAGCTTGTTCTGTTGGCAAAATGCTGATTTAACTAATTCTAACAGGTGGGGAGACGTATAGGCAAAACAATGGCTATAATAACTGGATCGTGCCTTCTGTGGTGTGTCTCTTCCTATGGTGTCAGTGAAATCATGATTTGATGGGACATCAGAGGAATGTACTCCTGGAAGCCAGGATTTGGATCAGTCCTTAACTACTTGTTTATCTATGTGCTGTACCACTAGCATGTCAGAGCAAAACCAGTGTTTTACCTCCCCCCTACACTTGGGCCAATAATTACTTCCTATCCCAAAGCGATAGTCAGCAGCCAGATTTGGGATAGTGTTTGTTTCAAGTGCATTGCATAATGCTCTCTTCAGTACGCTGCCCTGTTCAGTGCAAGATGCAAAGTCATTGTTTTCTCCGCAGGGAACACAAGAGCCCCACTGTCCTTTGGTGACACTTTATTTCTCCATCCCCAAATAACACCTTGATTCTTTTATGAAAACAATAAGAGTAATAGTGTTGAGAGCAAGAGGATTTTCTTGCTCTCGAGGCTAGAGCAAGAGACTGGATATCAAATCAAAGATTTGCATTCTATTTCTGACTCTGTTACTGACTTGCAGCTTGACCATGGTCAAGTCACTTAATTTCTGTAGCCCATGTCACAATGAGGAAAGAGGAGAACTCATACTGACCTTTTTAAGCACTCTGAGATCTTGGATTTTAAAAAAAAAAGAGTTTTCAAATGACTGACAATTAACTGTGTTCTTTCTAGCAACACACTGTAATCTAAACTTCAACAGGATTTGAATGTGTGATCGATTTTGCCGGAGGTCCTTGTAACACGTGCATGGTTCCCAGATCTGAAATGAATTGGACAATGGATCCAAAGATAACAGAACTCCTCTAGGCTTGGAGGTTGGTATATGGGATGGGGAGGAATATAGTGGAAAAGCAGTGCATTTGTTTTAAGTGTTTGGTGTTTGATATGCGGTAGATTTGCAGTGAATTCCTGTAGAAAACTTTCTGTTCTGTCATGTGGATTTTTAATGTCACACTTTGGCACAATGTCAGCATTTGTTTAATTAGAAGGCATAATTTATTGGGTAAGAGAAACTGGAGCTGTCTGCTCCCAGGTTGCAAGTAAAACAAAAAGAAGAGAGGGGCTAGAAATAGAAAATTTTAGAAAAGTAAACAATGTTCAGTACTTGTGGAGATTCAGGAACTGGTTCAACGCAAATCTTATTTGCTGTATCTAGGTAGCAGCTGTTTTTTGCAGACTTTACATGTCAGTTGACTTTAAGTCTCTAACTTCAGGATGCTGCTGCAAAAGAGGGAGAATGATCTGAAGCAAGGTCTCAGTCTGTCTCGATATAGTCCTTGTTGATCATTAGTTCTCATTTGGTACCTGACATGTGCCAGTGAAGTCACCTGTGGGCAGCTGCAAGATTTCCTCTTTGCTGTTGAGTTTGACATGGCTCCATGGTGTCTGTTAAGGTGGGAATGGGTCTTAGACTTGAGTGCTGCTGAAAAGGGATGATTGCTTGGAGTGACAGGAACATGGCTCCAGGGAGGCTAGCTGTGACGTAAATAGATGCAAGGCTATTCCTGTCAAAGTGCAGGTCTTTTATCATGCCAGTCAGAACTGGCCTGTCCATCATTTCAGTTAAGTCTTGCCAACCTCCTCAAACAATCATCTTTGTATTCCTGGTAAAATAAAGATGGAAGTCTCTTTTGTGTCCTTGGCGCTTGGCCACCTTCACTACTCTGATTTTTTTTTTACAATAGATTTGACAGTACAGAAGAAAAGGGCTTGTTAATGTCTCTCTCTTTACTGACTAGATCCTGTTCTGTTTTTTTCCCCCAGCAGGGCTGGCTGGAGAGAAAGAGAGCTGTCGACCAAGGAGGTTTTATCTTTCAGAAATAAATAATAAAAAATATCCAGTGTCTGAGTTTTGGTGATGCTCTAAACTCAAAGTTAAGTGAGTCCAAACAGCCCTTTCACCTGTGATATGTCAGACTCCAGTCTATACTATATGACTGCAAGGTGAAGGGCGAGTCCCTCATTACTAAAAGAGGCTACATCACTAGGCTATAGAAAAAGCAAGTACCATGCAGCACTTTACAGGGTTTTGAGAATGTAAGACCCTCCACACTGGGGCTTATGGCTGGAACAGTTTTCAGACTTGGTTACTGCTTTCCATGACTAGCCTACACCTGCAGAAGGCAAGAGACCTGCTTGCACCAGTAGGGTATAGTAGAACTGTTCCCTAACTGAGCTAAAGTTCTAGATCATCCACAGCGGGCACTGATGTGGACTTGGACAATTCACATCTGTCTCAGTACCCTATCTGTTCATAGAACCATAGAATATCAGGGTTGGAAGGGACCTCAGGAGGTCATCTAGTCCAACCCCCTGCTCAAAGCAGGACCAATCCCCAGTTTTTGCCCCAGATCCCTAACTGGCCCCCTCAAGGATTGAACTCACAACCCTGGGTTTAGCAAGCCAATGCTCAAACTACTGAGCTATAACATGTATGTGCTTTACAGGTATGGAATGAGTCAGTGTGAACACTGCTATTTTCTGTATTTTACAATACAGAAAATCAAACCTGAGACCAGACCCAGTGGCACAGCTAGGTTGAGTTTCTGGGTATCCTGACACTTAATCTTGTACCCTAGCTGTTCTCCTTTACAGTCTGCAGTGCTGAGTGCTGTTCTACAAGGATGACTTGGCCAAACCAGGACTAAACTATTTTTAAATGTTAATTCTTAGGCTCAGAGCAAAGCAAGTGAGTGCTGAGCCCCTGGCTGTATGTGTTAGGATCACTTCCCTCAGCCCTTGCCACTCACAGAGTTCAGAACTATTCATCCTCCCCTCCCATATAGAAATTCACGGCAGCAGTACTCCCAGGTCAGACCCCTCCCTCTAAACCCTGCGATCCTCTGCTGTCCATTCACACTGTATTGCTGCTCTGCTTTCTGTGCCAGCCTCTGCCAGTCATATTCTACCCCCTTCCTTCACCCCAAGCGAAAACAAAAGAAAACATAAAAGATCATTCAACATTTATGCAATTATACAAAGTGGGAAAATGTTTCAAATTACACTCCTCCACTGTGCTTTAGCATCCATCCATCACTAGTCATTACAACCTCCCTGTAGAACAAAACCAACCTGTTGCTGATCTACTCTTTCTAGTTACATGTAATTAACTTACAAAATGTAGCTTCAGGGTAAAGAACTTTCCCTCCTCACTGCAGGCTAGTTGGGTTTTTTATTTAGGTTGATGAGGATTTAGTTTTAAGTAATGGAGTGGTGGGTTCCATCCGCCTGTACTAGGGCTGGGGGCCTTCCTCTGAATGTACACAGGCCCCCTAGGTTTGCAATGCAAAAAATGCCCAGGGTCCCATCCGATCAGGTCCACCTGCCCCCAGATTGCTGCAGGGGCCTAATTAAGCTGTGGCAACCCCACTTCCATCTGTTTGAGACCCTCTGTTGACATCACAATGTGGAGTGAAAACCCAAGGAGTGTGGCTGAAGCACAGGTGGGAGAGGGCAATCAGCCTCTGCTGTATTCTGCTAGCGATGGGAGCTCTGTCTGGAAAGTGGAGTGTTTATGTGCATGTGGTGGCTCCATAGGCCTTCATACAGTTATGGCTGCCCCCCTCCAGTCTTTTGAGGAGCAATGTCAACAAGCTCCATCCAGGTCTCTTCAGCTATAGGATTGTGGCTGTGATGTGTCCCATCATGAATGAGTTTGAACACAGAACAAATTAGGCTTTTCAGGGTTGTGGCAGACCCTTGTGATGGAAAGGTGGAAATGGCAGGCGGGGTATTTTTCACACCCAAGCTCTGTGCTCAGCATGTAACACTTGAAGGCGATGGGAAGCTGGAATTTGCTGGTGAGCGAGCATCTTCTCAGGGCCATCATGCCCCTTTGGGAGACACGCATTGAACATTCGGGCTTATTGCTGCTGAAATCCCCTTTTCATTTCCCAGTGTCAGAAGTTGCTCCCCACAGGTCTCTTATTTGATGGGAGGAACTGGGGTGTGTCTGGGGTCTGTTGTCTTGAGCCAATCAGCAGGTTCCCTAGAAAGAGACCTCACCACACTTGCTTTGCCATCTCAGCAACATCTGAGCAGAATCCTCAAGGCAGCACCCTCGGCTCGCAGAAGGCAGCCTTGCAATTCACGCAATCTCCAGCTTGTAAGGCTGGTTTTGGATGAGCTCTCCGTTTGCCACCTTTGCCCATGAATTCTGGACGGCCCCTGCCAGGGAGAAGGGAGCCCTTGGGGAAGAGGAGAAGGACTACTTTTGTTACAGCAAGAAGGGACGTGCCACCCAGCCTCACCGCTGATACAGCTTCATGATGCCTGCCCTGTGCAGGCTCTTCCACAGCTCCGCCTCCAGCAGCATGTCATGGTTGGCATAGAACACCAGAGGCTTCTTCTCCCGCTCGTAGTAGTGGTCTGAAAACTTTTGGTAATTGTCCGTGATAAATCCATAGGCACTGACCTGCAGACAGGGGGAAAAGGGTAACAGAACAGTTGGGAAGCGGGATCAGTGCCCAGCCTGTCCTAGGCAGACCGGACCCTGGGCTTCGGATAAGGAGTTACCTGGTCAGTCAGAAGTTGCTGGAGTAGCTGTGTGGGGCACAGTGCTGCCCCCTGGTACAGCCTCGGTGCTATGTCCTAAATGGTACATCCTGGAAGCCATGTGGCACACTGGAGCAGGCACCATCAGTGAAATAATTCATACCAGGTTGGGGCTCATGTGAGCTCTACCCAAATATTTCTGGGTCCTACAACAGGAGGGTTAAGAACCAAGCCAGGAACATGCTTTAACTCCACCCCACACTCATTCCATCAGCCTTTATTCATGCTGACCAGCAGAGTACTAGGCACTGAAGAAAGGTAGCCCTGAAGGCTCTTACCTGGTCACAGGTATGTAGAGCTGTCAGTAGCATGAGGGCACCAGTACTGGGCATGTACAGATACCCATACTGAGTATTTATTATTTCAGATCTCAGAAATCTGTAACCAAAGAGGGATTATAATAGGTGAGATCAGTGAAACAGAGAGAGATGGGCTGCACTGAATCCCAGTGAACAAGGTGGGTTGCCGAGGAAAGGATGAGACTACACGGCAGTGAATGGAAACACAGTGGCCTGCAAGAAACTGGATTGGCTTGCAATGAATAGGAGCACGTGGGCATAAATCCAAGATGGATCACAGTGGGTTGGGCTCCAGTGACGGGGATGTAATGCACTGAGTGGGACTGGACTGCATTTCAGTGATGGGGGAAGACTGCAGTGAACAGGTGGGATTGAGGTTGGAGGGGTTTGATTGTGGGGCAGGCTTCAGTGAACAGAACTGGGGCAGTTCCAGAGCTATTTGCCGAATGAGCTGGAGTGTTTTGAGACAATGTTTTCCTCAAAGGTGGCGCCTGGTTTTTCTTACCTCGCTGTTAGATAATGTATGAAATCTGGGTGCAGCAGCTTGAACTTTTTTGCAGATGTCTCTGGTCCAAAATATGTCCGCGGGCTGTGGTGGGAAGATCAAAAGGAATAGTTTCATTTCAAGTCAGTATTTAGACAGCTCAGTGTTTATATTACAACCTGAAAAGAATCTGAATATTTAGACTGACCAGTGGTGCCGGTTGTCAGCAGCAGAGGTATCAGACAGAGAAAATATTAAACAAAGAAAAAAAATACAACTCCCTGGAGCGCAGAGTTAACACTTTTCCTCTGAGGCAGAAACTCAGAGAGACACTGAAGAGCTTTCATTTTTATTATGGACTTAAGGTTGCAGCCAGATGTACAGTGTAAGCCTTGTTTTGATTCTGCTCCCCTCTAACTTTGCTTACAAATGAAGGGTGCTTGTGAAAAATGATTGTCATTAATAGAAGGAGGAGAATAATTTGTGTGCAGAGATTTTCTGTATTAAACTACTTCTGGGTTGGGTGTTGGGGAGGTCCGGGCGATACTTTCAGAGCTGCTTCAATCAGGGTTGTGAAAATGAGGTGCTGCTGAGGCCTGAAGACAGAGCAGAGAGAGGAAAGATGGTCCAGTGTTTAGGGCACGAGCCTGGGATGTGGGAGACCTATGTCCCTGCTCTGCCACAGCCTTCCTGTGGGACCTTAGTCAAGTCACTTAAGTCTCTGTACTCTAATCTGTATAATGGCCCTTCTCTCAAAAGGGTGTCGTGAGGATGAATACATATAGACAGTGAGGCACTCAGATACTATTGTAATGTGGGCCACATTAGTACCTTAGAGAGGGCTGAGACACCTTTGCAGAAGGCAGTATGCACTAATGCTGTCTATGCTGTAACCACCCTGCAGCTGGAGGACATCCATTGCCCAGTAGCATTGTGCCTGAGATGGCTCAGGGTGGGCAGAAAGCAGGTTGGAAGCATTACTCACTCATCGCCTCTGTCATACCCCTCTTGGACACGGCTGCCCAGTATGGCTGACTTCAGCATGACGTAATCGCGTATGTCCGAGGGGATGAAAATATACCGCAGGTCCTGCAGCGGGGCGGGAGGCACAAAATACATACAATGTTTTGGTGTAGCAGGCGCTGTCATACCCTCAGCCCCACTTAGATGCAAGAGCCTCATTCACAAACGCAGGGCAACTAAACATACACATGTTCTTTGGCGGTAAGATTGAGTGTGGGGAGCCGTGGACACCCAGCGCTTCTCAAACATGGAGGAGGTTTCTGGTGGAGCTGAAAGGAGCCAGGGAGACCTCACAGGAAGAGTCACGGATTGATGGTCTCAGGGTCTCCTGCACTTTATGTGGGTTCTAAGGTGGTATGTGTCAGTGGCCAGCAAGGCCAAGATGGTCAGCAAAGCTCCATCCCTCAGCGGGTGTTGCCACGGCCTGCATGACTCTCCAGGTCCAATCAAATATTTGCACAACACCTCCCAGCCCTGATGGCTTACCTTGGACTGGGGTATCTGGGTGAAGCCATACTCTCCGTAGGCGATCAGGGAATTCTTCATTGTGTTCACCGTGAAACCATAGAAGGATATCTTGGTCCCGACGTCATCTTCAAAGCCTTTGATCACAGCCCCATTTAGCCTGTGGGTGGAGAAGGGAGAAGACAAAGGCTCTGATTAAGGACTGGTCTTTCACCACAGAGCACTAAGTATGATTCTCCCCCATTGATGCTGCTACTAATTGGGGTTGTGTGCCAGTTTACAGCTGTAGAGTTGTTACCTAAAGTCCCTCACACCTTATTACAAAGGGATGGCACAGAGGGCCACACATGCAGTTTGAAAGGCCTAGAGTCCTGGTTCAAGTTCCCAGCAGGGATGACTCATCCCTCATCCTTCTGAGGTAGCCATGCTGGGTACCATGCAGTTATTGTATGAGGAGAGACGGGAGCATCACTCAGATGGGATGCTACAAACTGAGGTCTCTCTCGCTTGGGCAATAAATATCTCACAGCCCCTTTACAGCACCAAGGATTTGCTCTGGTGTCCTTGGTGTACATTTCCTCTCCCCTCACTGGTGTGCAGAGTGCTATACTGATGTCTTCCCTTTGGCCGAAGTGCAGGTGCAGTCTTGGAAGCACCGACAGCGGTTACACCTTCCTCCTAATTGCACAAACCCTACCCTGGGGGCAGATAATCCCACAGGATGAGGCTGTGCTGGTACAAAGTGTCTGGAACGTGCCTTACAATGGGGCATCCAGGAAAGACCAAAGCAGCCTGAAAGGGGAACTGTGAGATAGGGATTTGCCATATGGCCTCCGTTAATGTCAAATAATCTGTTGGAGCATCGGGGCCACATGACAAGCTATCAAGCAGCACTGCCCACAATGGGCAGCAGTAATAGCCATGGCTGCAAGAGGGCATGAAATGTACAGCCGGAGTTGCCCTACTAAGAATGCCCTGGGACCCCATTAGACCTGCCCACTGTTAATACACAAGATCTTTAAGCAGGATCCTCTGCTAGTTAAGGAGCAAAACAGCCCCAATGACCCGGTCCCTGTCAAAGGTAAGTGCCCCTGGTTTCCTCAAACTACAGCTCCCAGGATGTGTGGGCTGCTGAGCTCTCCATACCTGAAAACAAAGTCATGGGCATCTATCTCCTTGCCTTGCCGGGATCCATTGAGAATCCCTCCATTCCCGACCACGGCGCAGCGGACGCAGCCTTCAGGGAACCTGGCTTTGTCGAACAGCCAGCTGTTGGCAGAGTCGTTGAGCAGATGCAAGGCGGAAGCAATGGCTGCAGATCCAGGCAAGAAAGAGGCTAGTCAGCACCAGCCTCGTATTGCAAGAGCAGAGGTGCAGGTGTCTACAAGGTCTAAACTGGGCCCAGCTCAGAGCTCAGCAGCCCCGACTTCCACCGGCTCCCCGGCCCTCCCTGGGTGTGTCTGGCTGGCTTGGGAGCAGTGTAAAGGTTACCGTTGGAATCATGGCTCTTTGCGGTTGGGGCGTATGGAGCTCTCTGCTCTCATTGCCCTACTAGGGGTGCTGAGACAGAAGCAACCCTGCCCTGTCCCTTTCAGGCACAACTCTTCGCAGCTGGTGCTGCCCACACAGCCCCCAAATGCCTCCGTTGTCACCTCACCATTGAGACAGTCGTGCTGCTGGCGGCTGGAGAGGTGCAGAGGGTGGGTGTGGGGTAGGAAGGGAAACAATTCCCAGCAGCCAGTCTCCAGCAACAATGGAGCATGTTGTTTGAGAGCCTTGTGGTTTGAGTTAATCATTGCACAGACACTGGGACCTTTTATTCAGGAAAATGTCACAAGATGTTGATTGCAGCATTTCCTAACAGTCCCCTCCTGCTCCATGGACTCTGACTCCCCGGGGAGGAGGGGCTTTAGTTGAAAGGTATTTAATTCTCTGGTTACACAGCAGGCATTTTAATCAAGGCCTAGGCTGTAGGATGATCTCTACCCAGCCATGCCCATACATGCCCCTCTGGCTAATCTCTCTGTCTACGTGGCAAAGAAGTTCGTAAAACAACCAGTGCCCAGCATTTCCAGCCTGACCTGAGCCTCTTGTCAGAGATCACCCTTTACCCTCAGAGGTGGTTTGCCCAACCTCCCCCACTCCCCTCAGGCACAGGATGAGATGGCTGCTCTACAGAGACGCAGGGAGCAGGGGAAATCTTAGTGTAACCACTTGGTTTGTAAATCTGCTGCCTCACCCCACTCCTCTCATCCCATTCGCCCTCCCCAGCTGCCCTGCTCCCCCCTCCCATCCCGCTCCCCCACCCCAGCTGCCCTGCTCCCCTCCCCCATCGCATCCCGCTCTTCCAACCCAGCTGCCCTGCTCCCCCCTCCCATCCCGCTCCCCCACTCCAGCTGCCCTGCTCCCCTCCCCCATCCCATCCCACTCCTCCAACCCAGCTGCCCTGATCCCCCCTCCCATCCCGCTCCCCTACCCCAGCTGCCCTGCTCCCCTCCCCCATCCCACTCCTCCAACCCAGCTGCTCTGCTCCCCCCTCCCATCCCATCCCGCTCCCCGGCCCAGCTGCCCTGCTCCCCTCCCCCGATCCCTCCCCCATCCCAGCTGCCCTGCTCCCCCTTCCCATTCCACTCATCCACTCCAGCTGCCCTGCTCCCCTCCGCCATCCCACTCATCTACTCCAGCTGCCCTGCTCCCCACCCATCCCGCTTGCCCACCCCAGCTGCCCCACCCCCTCCTCCCATCCCACATAGCCACCCAACTCAACACAGGAAGCAAGTGCTGGTGGAAGGTGCCTGTCCCAATGCTGGAGGAGCAGTTCTCCCAAAAGCTGCAGCATGGGCAGCTTCCCTGCCCATGTGTCTCCACAGCAGGAGCCACTCCTCGAGGTGAGCAGGGAGCTCACGCTCCGTGGCCATGTTCACTCCTTGGCCTCTCTGCCAGTCAGAGCTCATTAGTTTGGAGGCTTCTATGATATGGGCGTCTGCTAGGAAGCTTGCAGGGGCAGCACTGGGATATAGGGTTATGCTGACACAACTAGAACTGAGCTAGGAATTATAGATGGAAAGCAGGGGACAGACGGCTAAGAGAACTGGTGATGAGATCCATAATCTTCCATCTCTACATCACTTTCCTTTCGTTCTTTTATCCAGCCTATTGTATTTATAATGGACCCAACACAATGGAGGTACCAGTCCCAGCCTCGATTGGCCTCAAGGGAATGTTGTCCCCCTCAGATGGCTGTTGGGTAGACTATTCCTGGGACCAGGAATGGGGCGTCTGGCATGTCACAAAGGGGTTTGCAGTGCACCATCACTCCCATTACCTGTGTCGGGCAAGCCCTGCCAGCCATATGGGACGCTGCGCTCCTTCAGTCTGTTCCGGGTCTCCTGGGTGACGTGCCGCGCCCACATCAGCACTGGGATGTGGAATCGAAAGAGCTTCCCAAACCTGGGGTCCGCCTTCACTTTTGACGTCAGTGACTGGGGGCATGAGCTGGCCTGAAAGAAGAATGAACCACATTTCGGTCTTGAAATCATCCCACACTTCTCCTTAACACCTCCATTCCTTACCAGGTGCCAGGGAGGTGTGAAAGGGATGCACTCACCTATAGACATCTGCTAACCCCACAGGGAAGTTTTTGTATTTCTCTTCAGCACCTGCAGCTGTTTGAATTATTCGTTATTATTGCGAGCCCTAATCATGGACCAGGAAGGTCCCATTGCACTAGGTGCTGTACAAACACAGAACAAAAGGATGGACCCTCTCCCAAGGAGCTTCTATACATATTGGTCTGAGCATAGGACTGTGAGCTGGGAACTCCTAGATCCTGTCCCTGGCTCTGCCCCTGACCTGCTGTGTGACCATCGGCAAGTCACTTCCCTGCTCTCTGCCTCAGTTTCCCCATCTGTAAAAGAAGCATGGTGATACCCAATTCACAAGGGGTGTTGGTAGAATCAGTTAATCAAAGCTCACAAATCACTTAGAGATGAAGAGTGCTCTATAAACAATAGCAGTATTGTCTCCTCCACAGACTTATTCTATGTTAAGAGGCTTCCAATACCTTATTAATGATTCCTCATCACAGCTCAAATGTACTTTCCTTGGCTGATTTTAAAGCTTGAAGTCGTAGCCAGACCAAGCATGTCCATGGAAAGCATGAATACAGGGTTGAGGAGCTGAGCACTAGATAGATCCCATCTACAGTGGCCAGGCGAGCCAGTGTGAAAGCCATGCAAAAGCAGAATTCTAAATGGGGTTTTGCCACAGCTTGGCAAGCTAGTGGAGATGGGTAGAACAGTGGGCCCAATGGTAAGCAAGAGCTGCAGGACTAGGTACTGTGGACCAGATCCGACTCCCACTGACTTCAAATGGCACTGGAGCAAGCTCCTGCCTTGGTAGAACACTGATGTTCCACCACTGTTCTACCATAGTTTGGCTGGTATGAACAGTACAGACCTGGGCTTAGCACTCCCACACATGCTGCTTAACACTCCTCCTCTTCCACCCACCAGCTATGACTTCTTGCTTATTTATTTTCACTGGGAAGGTGCAGAGAAGGCCAGCTCCTTGCCAGTCACATCCTGGGCAAAACATAATAGAGCTCACATTCAACTCCTGCACTAGTTCAGTGTCACCACGCAGGCTGTCACTGGTATAGCTGTTTGGATTAAAGAAGAGGTTCCCCCACCTTCACCCCATGCTACAGCTCTTCTGAGGTTCAGAAGAGTTTGGCTTGCTTTTTCATTCGTATCTTTCATGTTCTCGCTTCCTTGGGTTCCACCCAGAGCTGGGTTCTCAGGCACAAACATGCCGTGAGGAAAGTCATTCGCATCCAAAAGCAAATGCCTGTCTCTTGAGAGTCCCAATCCAGTTTGGCAGGAGGTCTGGAGAGAGCTAATGAGTGGCTGAAACTCTGTCTGCTTCTCTAAACCAAACCTCTAACCTTTTCAGAATTGCCTATCCTTCCTGCAAATCTAGGATGACTCAGTCTCTTAGGAGAAGTGCCATGGGGTGTGTGGGTGAGTAAGTCAAATACCTTTCAAATAAACAGACCTTATTTTCAGAGAACATTTTCCCTTCCTTTCTTTTCCCAGACCCCAAACTGACTAAAAACTTTGGAAAGACAAGGACAAAGTGATGAGAATGACAGCGCTAAGCATATGCTTATTACCTGTTCCTTGGTGGGTTTAGCCTTCCCAGGCTCAGAAGAATATTTAGATGGCTTCCCTCTGGAAAAAAAGAAGAGAAGAGCTAAATATTCCTTTTGCATTGAATTTCACTTGTGTTCATTTCTCTTTCATGTGCGGGGAAATCATAAGAAGATCCAACAGCTTCTGCTGTAGCTCTTCCTATCCCTCATACTGGGATTCCTGATGGTCTAATGGTTAGTGAATCGGAGGCTGGGAGTCAGGAGACCCGGGGTTTAGTCCCAATTGCAATACTGGGTCAGTGTGTGACCTTGAGGTAGTCACTTTGCTTTAAGCGTTCAAATCTATGCACTAATTTTGCGCGCCTTGGGTTTTGGGAGCCCAGTTTGAGATGCTCAGCGATTCAGAGGTGAGCCCTTGTGACTCCATTTGCAGTCAATAAGGAAGAAGATTGGTCCTCTGGTTAAGGCAGTGCTTAATTTGTAATGAAAGAGGTGCTGGGGCTCAAGCCATTGTTTTGTTTTTTGTTTTGTTTTTTTCCATAACTGATGTGGCAAGCCCAGGCACAAATTAAGCACTATCTTAAGGCACCAGACTGACTCTGTGATGGCAGCCCACCTCTATCCCATAGCATGGCCCTTTAAACTTTTGGCCACCAGGCAGATGTATGCAGAGACCTAGGAATAGGAGACATAGGGGGACAGAGTCCCAGGAATAAGTAGTGTCTGTGGGGCAAACTTGTTATTATTTCTTTAAGGGCCTGGGACCAGAAGCCTTGCAGAGTGGGTGAGACAAGGCTCCTCTCCCTCCCAGCCAATTGGGATGAGCTTTGGGAAGGGGACCAGCATATATTCTGCTGCCTCCCGCAGAGCGGGGGCAGATGAGGCATTAGCTGGAGCCATTCCATCCCCTCCCTCCCACCCTCCCACACACACACACACAAAAAGGTGAAAGGGCAGATGAGGGGGGAAAGGGACAACTGAAGGAGAAGCCGGCTGAGGACCTACAGCTGGCTTGAATGAGAACCTAGCTCTAGGAGAAGAGCTAAGGGGAGAGCTATTAAATGCCTGAGGCATAACCCAGCTGCCAGGGAGTGGACTTGAGGGAGCATCTGAGCGGATGGCTGGGAAGAAGACACATGAGGAAACTGAACTACAGACAGAGCAGGGGCAGTGGAGTCTGCAGCCTTGTGAGAGAGGCTGACAAACAAGGCAAAGGCAAGAGTAGCGGTGAGGGATTATAAAGAGCAGCGTTTAGCTGCCCCACGCGGGTCCCTCGGCTGGAACCCAGAGGAGCGGGTGGGCTGGGTTCCCTCCCCAAACAAGAGAGGGAAGTACAAGCCTCGGCACCAGGAGTCCCAGATGGGGACGGAAGGCTGGGCATCATGGCCTGGAGACTCTGGGTTTGTTTTGTTTGGACTTTTCCCTTACCCCTGGAAAGGGCCAGAAATGGAAAGGGGACCTGGCTGGAGGGCTGAGCCATGGAATCTGCCCAGCAACAAGGGGCATGACAGTAAAAAACCCCTGCCACACTGTGGCCTGGCACAAGGGGGGGATGGTGAGCGTGCTCTGGCACAGGCACTCAGGAGTTATGGATTTTGTTACTGCCTCGGCTGACTGCCCGCCGTTACTGTGGGCAAGTCCCTTAATTGTTCTCTGCCCCGGTTCCCGCTGTAACTTGGGGGTGACAGCCCCTGTCCATTTAGGCTGAAAACTCTGTGGGGCATCGGTAATGTACAGGCCTGGTGTGGGCTCTCTCCTGGAGGTCAATGCACCAGGGGGAGGGGTGAAGGTGAGATGGGCAGCACAGCCTGGGGGAAGAGCAGCCCTTCCCCTCTCACCAAGGAGTTAGATGAATGGAAAGAAATAAACCACGCGGTGGCCAGTTCCCGTCCAGATAGCACGGAAGGCTGTCACCATCTGGCAGGTGCCTGGGGTCCCTTGTGAGCTGAGGTGCTGGCCTCCTTCCAGTCCAATCACGGGAAAGCAGTTGGGAGTAAGCAAGCCCCTGGCTGGCAGTCTCAGCACAGAGGCAGGGGACTAAACTTCTATCCCATCCTACAGATGGGCCTTCGAGGGCTGGGTTGGGGGCATTGGCAAGACAAGGTAGAAGCTGGTCCTGTTGCTGCCTGGTCTGGGGATACCTAGAGGGCTTTGCTGTGCAGAGCTGTCAGCCCAGTGCCTTCCCCTTGCATAACCGTCACCTGGGAAGGAAAACAACAAAACCCAGCGGTCTGATGCTGATGGAACCATCCCCTGTCTAGAAGGCCACAGTAACTCCCCTGCCCCTCCAATGAGAACAATCGGCAGGGAAAAAACATGAGAGATGGCAACTAATTTCCTCCTTATCCCAGCACTACTCACCTGACCATGCTGCTTTCTCCTCTCAGGTCATGGCTCCCAGTATGTCGGGACATCCCTCCAGGCACCAACAGCAGTGACTCTTGCTGCAGCAGGCTAGAACAGACCACACAGAGAGAGCCTCAGGGGGGAAGGTGCAGCCAAGCCATCACCTCCCGTGTTTATCAGGCCTCCCCGTCCCCTTCAAGTGAGAACAACTGAGCACAGGAGTACCAGCAGCAGCATAGACCAGTCGTGTAACAACCGGATTCATGAGACAACCTGAGATCTGATACATCTGAACATGGCCTGGATGGGCCAAAAGGTAAGGGCCTGAACAACCCCAACAGTGTCTGTTTCAGGTAGAGGGGCACTAGACCTGCAAAAGCTGGGGGGCCCTATGGAAAATTCAGGGGCCACTGGCTTGGACAGGCTCCCTGTGACTTGGGTGCTACATCAAACCAGGGGTTTTCCCTCTTCAGTGCTGGGCCCTCAACAGTTTTGCCCATTGTGACATGTACATCTTCTAACATGAGACATGCAGGGAACCAATCTATCCTATAGCACTGTACAATACACCCAAGTGAGGAACTCCAGGCATGCCTGAGGAGCATGAAAGGTGTATAGTATTTTACACCATTAGCCGAGCATTTAGCACCTTTTATGTCTCCAGCACTTCACCAACATTAACTAATACCAAATTGATGAGACCAATGACGGAAGTTGGGGCAATCTGGGAAATTCAAGGGGTCAGATTTGATTGTTTTATTGGAAAAAGTGGGGACATTGGACCATCCTGCAGGTTCCTAAGGAGCCATTCACCTCCGGGAATAAGTCCTTAGTAGAGCTGGTTAAAATTTGGAATTTCCATCGTAGGGGAAACTCCAAGATTCCAAAACTTGGTTTTGTCCCGATCTTGGACAAAAAGTCTCTCGAAGAACTTTTTGCAAAATGAAATATTCTGAAAATATTTCACTCTGATCTTATCAAAATGCTTCTTTTAATATGATATCAAAGTCAAAACAGCACAAACAAAACACATTTTGATAACTTCCCAGGAAACATTAGACCAAATTGGAACATTCCCAGGAAACAGTTTGATCTTTGTCCAATCAGCATATTCCGATAATACTGTTCTATCAGGCAATTTCCGACCAGCTGTAGTCATTGGCATCTGATGGCTATTTCACGGCCCACACGAAATGAGTGGGTGGGTCTCAGAAGAGTTCCTAGTGGGCACATGTCCACATCTGAGAAACTACCCATTCAATTTGCCCAAAGTGGGCATTCTCAGAAGAGAGGCTAAGCTGTTAATGGAGAGGCCAATGGAAACTGAACTCCCCTCCTGCCCCTAGTGGGGTCCCCACACGCAGGAGCACTGACAGTTTGTCACAGGGGAAGCTTGTACCGCTGCTGTCCATGCTGTAACTGTCCTGTGGGCAAACAGCAAACCTCAGCTTTCATGGCTGACACCCTTCACAAGCAGAAACGCCCCCTTAAAAAGAGAGGCCACAATTCCAGAGAACCAGTCTAGGTTTTTCTGTCTTTTTTGGTAGCTGAGAACAGAAGCAAGTGGGCTAGGACAGTGTCCTGCCTTTGCCCATGGCTGTGTCTGCTGGGGGTGAGTCTGAAGAGGAGGTTCAGGAAGATGAGGTCATGGTGTTTGGAGTCAGAGGCTGAGGAAAGGAGAGGCGTTTTAGGCTGGGATTCAGCGAGCCAGCTTTGTGACCGGTATTTATCATTCAGCAAAAAATGTCCCTGTTTAAACATTAACTGTGGCCCATCAAGGCAGTGATGCAGGGAATGAGAGACAACCCAGCCCCCAAAGGGCACACAACAGGCCAGCCCAGGGTGGGGTGGGGTTAATCTGGCCTTAGCCAGTGCTAACCAGCAGAGAAGCCCCTGGTGTTCCCTCAATATGCTCTGCCTGGAGCAGTGAGAGAAACGGGCCTGCTGGCGTTTCATTGACCCTCAAAGGCACAGTAACGGGCCTGAGTGGGGCTCAGACATGCAGCTTTGCTCCGGCCCTGCATCCCCGGCTGCATCTACACTGGCAAATTTAAGATCCGTAATTACCACCAGTGCAGCTGTAGTGTAGACAGGGCTCCTGTGTATTTAGCATCGTGGCATTAACCATGTTCTGAGCAGGGCTAGATTCTAGATGACAGAACAGTAAAGATGCTAGCTCCTGGGCTGCACTAGCGCTCTTGCTGCTCCATCTGGGCTAGCAATGGAGCTGGTGCCAGACCAATTCCCAGTTTAGACAAGGGCCTGGAGACCTGGGTTCAAGCCCTGGCTTGGGATGTTAGTGAGGCTTGTTTGTGGTCTCTGCACCAAGTTGCTTACGACCTGGGACTCTGATCCTGTGAGAGACTGGGCCCCTTCCACTGAAGTCATCATGCTAAACCCAGGGAGGTGCTGAGGACTCATGGCTCCCACTGAAGCCCACGGGAGTGGAGCGTGCTCTCACCCGCTCAGGATTTAGCCCACTAGAAGTCTCTGTTATTCTGTGCAGGCACAAAGGGCAATGGGCTCACTGCCAGGTGGGTCAAGATGCCATTGTCCTGGAGTTCAAAGAAGCAGTGACTAAAGTCAACAGTAAATGCAGATCCAAATCTGCCCCTGTGCTCTGGAGAGATGCGTGGCAGTGAAATGGAAGTTCCATGCCAGCAGCTGGGTGCAGTGAGCTGGAAGTCTGACTTTCCTAGGCCCTCCTTTCTATCCCTTCATTCTG